AAAATAAAAAATTTATATCTTTATGTTTGAAGCCTGAAATGTGGCAAAAGGTTGAAAAGTTCAAGGGGGCCGAATACTTTCACAAGGCACTGTACATGTTAGTCTGAAAATATTAAATTGTTTTGACATTTCATTGCTTTAGGGATACTTTGACGAAGACAGCATGGAAGAGTTTATTGCGTCAGATACAGAAGAGTCTTCAATGAGTCTGAGCTCTGAAGAGGAGAAGAGTAAAAGGTATTCTTGCGTTCCAAGGAAGGAGTAGTAGTGATAGAGAAGAGGGGTTTGTTAACATCTGGTCTAAGTTGTTTAAAATAGCTCATTGGAAACCACAAAATGTGTGTTTTGTGTGTTATGTCAGAAAATAAACCCCTTTGGCCTTTAAGGCCTTATTCATTAAGGAGGTAAACTCTTTCACATAAGAACCCTTTGCCTGTACTGGGTCCCATTAGGTTGTGATATGTAAATTATACACAGCCACACATCAATTTAGTGAATACATGAGGAACCACTTAGTTTTTCCCAAAAGAAAGTGTCTTTCCTCAGCTTGTGGGGAATTTTACTAAGATCTTGCTCGACATTGATTTAAAAGACGTTTGAAAAGACCATAGTAAGATGTTTAAGTTTGTACCACACAGAGGTGTCCGTTCCACCCCAACGTTCCCCCCCCCCCCCACTTAAGAGATTCACTAAAACATACACTTTGACTAGGGGAGCCTACACCTTTGCATACAGTTGTATTGCAGGAATATAGAGCTGCCATGAGCACTCTGGAATTTTTGTATTTTCAGTAGACAGTTGTTGTGAATGAACACACAAGTCCCACAGCCTCCTCTACTTTTTAGTCTTCCTGATGTTCTAAATTTGGAGTATTTTGCCCCAAACCTGTGGATGTTCTTTATTCTGATCTTCTCAGCAAGAAGAAGAAGGGCAGAGGGAAGAAGTGTAGCAGCGCGGAGGGGTCCGACAGTGGAAGTGATCTGGAAGTGATCAAGGAGTGGAACTCACGGTCTCGTGGGGGAGGCGGTGACAACCCAGAGGGAGGAAGGAACAGACCCGAGCCTGTTGAAGAAGGTGAGATCACTCTTTCTTGGATAGCTGTGCTTTTAAAACAGCCAGAACCCTGTGCCTTGGGGCTGCCATCAGTGTAAAAGCAAAGCAGTATTTACACCAGCTTACCCATAAATTCTGATTGTTTGAATTGGGTTTGACACTGACATGGCGGTATGAGTGTGCTCATTGAACGATTTATATTAGAGCTTTATTGGGAGTATTTATGAACGACTAATTCGGATATCTCAGTGTGGCCGATCAATGGAAAAATTAGGGCTCACCTAAAAGCAGCTCACTGCTAGTTTTGGTAAAAAACGTGTTTACACAGTAGGAGAACAAAAGGTTCATTTACCACCCTCGAGGCAGGGTTGACCGTCTGGCTCTATAATCCCCATGATTTGGATTTTAAATGTGCCCTTAAACTGAAGGAAATTAACTTGTAAATTAAGTTTTAAGCCATTGCCAAATTGATATCGTTACCACACACGGCATATACTAATACAGTAAAAACAAATGTGCATCATATTGAATTGATCATTTATATTTGTATTATTGTAATGGGATAATGTAATGTAATTAGGGCATAATCTTTTTTTTAAGTGCATAGCTTCCTTTGAAAGTACAATTAATGATTTTTTAGTGATCTCTGCATCCTAAGCCAAACACATTCTCTCTGAATTCATTCTACAAATCAGTAGACATCTGTTCTCTTCAATATTTTTCAAACAGCATACAAAGGTCATGGATAATTTATGTTAAGATAGTATTTGGCGGCCAAACGCCTTTACCACACATGGTAAAAGTAATCAAAACCTAAACATGTACATTAGAAACCATACTGGAAGAATGAAATGCAAGCCAAACTTGTTTGAGGATAAGTAATCAATGACATCTATTAGCTGTATTTCAGTTAGAAATAAAGCAGAGAAATCGAAAGTTGTGCTTGTTTAATGTACTTAATGTGGTTTCAGTTATCAAATTCAATCAGCTCATAAGTTTAAAGAACCATAGTATGATTTCACCCATTATAGGTTTTGTGAGTTAGATTAATACAATCCACTTACAATATCCTGAACTTCTGAATTGTGTGACATGAGTTCAGAAATTGGATGCTCCTTGATTAAATGTGGCTTTTGCTAAATTAATTGACAAAACCAACTGCATCTCTTCTGGCCTCAGTATAGCCAGGTTCTTTTAAAAACATGATAGTCAGACTTGAGGCCATTAGATTTCTTCTAGCAATCCCCAAAAAACAATGACCATAAGAATATTCCAACTCTGAGGACATGTTCAGCAAAGTATACCTTTGAGAGTTTCTAGGAGTATTGAACTAAAATGTCCTATACCACACAAATGTCTTCTAAATAAAAATATTACTTATAGAGGTTTTTGTGACTTAAAGGATTTTATTGTGACGTGATATGCATTAAAACTAAAGGCATAATAAAGAGCATACAAAAAGTGTATATAAGTCAGATTTTTTAATCTTTTTAAAACTTTCCAGTTCAATCACTATATACATAGGAGTGTCTGAAATCTTTTTTATGGACTTTAAGAGCTGAATTTAGTTATACAACAGTTTTTCACTCCTCTTTTTCTTCCTTTTTGATTGATGTAGTTAGTAAACCTACCTCAAGTTCAGGCCCAGGAAGTCCCTCCCCAGACTGGCACAAAGATTTTGTCACGGAGGCAGATGCTGAAATATTGGAGCACTCCGGAAAGATGGTCCTGCTTTTTGAAATTCTCCGAATGGCTGAGGAAGTGGGTGATAAAGTGTAAGGCTTCATTGTTTTCATACCTCCTTTGTATGGTCTGCTTTGGGAACTAATTTGGTTTGTGCTTCAAATAGAAGGTTCTCATTCTTAGAAGGAGCAGGGTAGTGTTCTCAACTACCTTAATGTTTTTAGTCCCAACTATATAATCGATCTCATTATTTGCTAATTGGATCAATTTGTGGCCTAAACCTGTAATGGGTTAAATTGACCTAAATCCTACATAGACTAGTTTAGGTTAAGTGTTAAGGAATAGTATACAGAAAGAGAAGGTCACAGAATATATATGGACAACCATCATGGTATAAAACATGTCTGGGGACTTTCATTTTGACACACAAAATCTATTTTTTTAAAGGTTTTTTTCACAGCGGGCTTTATGACTGTTTTGTAGTCATAATGAGCTGTTGCAATGAAGGTCGAATTTGCAGCACAAGTTGTGGCTGCACATGGAGATTATAATGTGAAACACTCATCTGTATTTTATTTGCCAAAATGGTTTGTTTTAGGTCTGTTTATATCTGAAAAATGTTCTCATATGTAAACAGTGTTCAGCCACATTATAACCATTTCTAGTTTGGTTGATTTGAGTTCTGCTGTATTATCCAAACAGTGCTGTTTCGCTCCACAGTGTGGGTAAGCAATTTTTTCAGAGGAATAGCTTTGGGAGCACATTTTGCAAACTTCTCTGTTTTAGGAATCTGAACATATCTGAGCAGCCCCAGAGTTCCAAATCTAAGAATTGACCAGCAACGTCAACCCAGTGGAGTCTCATCAATGAGAGAAAGAGGTTGAGGTCACAATCAGATTAAGACCTTGTACACTTAAGTCTCCAAAGAGAATTGGGACTGTCTGGAACACTTTACGCAGCCAAATTTGTGAAGTTGCATTTTTGGGGATCTTTCAGGAAACATTTGGCAAAATAGAATTGTAATGCAAAGTCTTACTGGGATGAGTAGAAAAAAAATAAATAAATACTGCACTCTGGCATTTGCTTCTATACATTGGTTTCCTTTTCAGATAAGTGACAAAGTTTGGGTATCTGACCTGAGAGTCAATAAGTCATCTTTCACCTCTTTATCTGCCACTTTTGATTGGCTCCATGGGCCCGTCAGTTCTCTCATTATGTGCTGCAGGGGTGTATGTAACGGACATAACGTTGTGGGCTTCACTTGTCAAATATAGTGAAATATAGGCCTTTCTGATCCATTTGGTAGCAGGAATGTGGCTCACCTGGCTTGGTTTCTGTTTTTAATTCTTAATTGATGTAATTTAAGCTTTTTATGGGGGAGCACTTGCTGTGGCTGTTTTTAAACCGAGATGAATATCTTTTTTTATTAGCTTGTGCACTATACACTGTGTTTTCTAGGCTGATAAAAACATTGTCTGTGATTTAACACTAGTACAGGGTGAGGTATTTTTTTTACAAAAAAAAATTGGGGTTATGTTCTAAATATATTTACAGTTGTCTTGTGTATTGTTTTTTTTTCTGTAAAACAGGACATGCTGTAAGTACAGTATGTGCATCTATGGGGCTGGCCTCCCATCCATGGTGTTATCCTACTTTGTACTCTTTTTTTTATCCCCTGGTGTGAACACTGTGCTGCTTGAACCCTAGCTGGCAATAAGTGCTTTCTGATGATGAATTTACTTTATTTCATAAACCTGTGTCATCCCTTTTCTAACTAAATGCCAAGTGGCTTCAAGACAATTGTTTTTTTTTTACTTTTTTGTGCTCATTTATGGTTTCAGGCTTGTCTTCAGCCAGTCACTAATCTCATTAGATTTGATTGAAGATTTTCTGGAGCTGGCTGACAGGGCGAAAGAGGAGGGGAAGCCTGATCTATATAAAGGTATGCCACCTTAAAATATGTACCCGTTCATTTTATAAGATCTTTGATGGTCTTGTAAAGTGATGCTGCTGTATTTTGTGCGTCAGGGTCAGTTTCATCTAAGGTTGTACCTTCCCAAGGGCCAACACACTGTTACAAAAACAGCCTTGGTCAGGACCAAAATGGAGCCATTTCTAATACAGGCTGACCTTTTGAGGCAGGAATGGTAAAGAAGAACAGGAGAGTTCTATTGATCTATGATTTGTGTGGTACAGTTTTCTCTTAACTAAACTGATAGCCATTATGTATGGATGTCACCCCATCGCTTTAGCCTTGGAATTCGAGCACACTGACTGTGAAGTTTCTCTTAGGCCTGTCCTGTTCCCCATTCTGTTTTGTAGTTTTGTATCAACTTGCTTGGCATCAATTAACAGATTGCTATTTTTGCAGATCTCTAGTTAACATTAGTGTTCAATTAAAAAATATATTCTTTTAATTCTTCCTTGGCTTTATTAACTCCATGACATATGTTGTATATGCTTTTAATTATGCGGTTTAATGATGTTTTGGTGTTTCTTAATCCAGCTGCTTCAGCCTTTTCTCCAAGGGTAGGCCTCATTTATAATAATATTCACTGAAATGGATGAGCTTTTACTAGAGTTCTGTCCTTTATCGTGCTGTTTTTTGAAGGTGCACCTGTGTTTCCCTTGGCTGGGATCATTGCTACTGTTTTGAGCTGAACATAAGTCTTAATTACCTTTGATCCTTGGCTGGAGCTTCCCAGAAAAGGCTTGAACTCAATATAGGCAGCTGCCAGCAGTGTTGCCACCCACTAACCGCTCTCCTTCCTGGTCACATAACCCCCATCCATGTTAACCAGCAGGAGGGAGTGTATATTATGCTCCCCTGCAGCTATGTGCAGATGCCCTTATTCATATCCTTAATCCTGCTAGAGTCCTAGCCTTTAGTCTGGACAGATCCCAATCCAGATCCAAGGAAGATAGGAGAGGAAATAGTGTCTACTCTTACTGGCTAGTGGATATCTTAAAAGAGGTAGATATATTCTCTAGGCATCTAACCAGAGGGGTCACAGTGTCCTGGCCTGGGACTTCAGTAATCCAGTTTAGATATCCTGAGATATCAGTAATGGCTGTTGTCATGTGAAAGGAAATTGGAAATTGACTTCAAGCAACACATTTTTTTCATTTTGGTTTTTTGGAGATGCATCCATATGAAAATGAAATAACACTAATCCAAACTATCTTGAAATCATTGTCGATTAAAGCGTTGACTCATCATGTGTGTTATTTAGTGTCACTTTTTTATAAATCATCGATAATAAATGCACATGGACTCAATATGAATGAATGTGTAGAGTTCACTGTAATATAAGATGCAGTTGGGTATTTTAATTCTTTACACAGTCTGCCAATTGCAGACTGTCTCACACATTCTTAGAGCTGCTTTTCCAATTTTTCCCAGCTTTGCCTAACGTGAGCTCATCTCCTCTGGTCTCCTTCTAACTTGACAATATATCACTCAGTTCATAGGCTCTTATACACACCAGTGCAAAAGTGAAAATAAATCGCCTCAGGGAATAGGCTTTATAAACAAACTTTGACTTCAGCCAGAGTGTCTTTGTATATTATATACATGTATAATTTTTTTCCACCCTGAGCATCTGGTGTGTGGTGGTGTTCTTTCACATCCTAATTAAACTGCAGCAGCTGTTTTTGCTTTCATTTCCAAAATGATTAGACCTTGACTTTTTTTTTAATTCCCCTAAAAATGTTTGCTTAAGGGTTTGCAATTTAATGAAAAGATCACAGTCCAGTAATTAGAAACATGCCGAAACACAGAATGCGAACACAGTCCAGGGTTAACTGAGTGATAGGAAGGGCTCAGTGCCTTCTGGACAAGTATCTGAGCGTACATACACTTCTCTTCAGGCCCACAAGAAAGACTTTTTAACTGGAGAACTGATTGCAAGACCGTTCCCTATGCCACAGTGACCTGTAACTGTTAGGGCTCATCACGATTGTCAATATTGTTACATTTTCATTTGTCCTCCATAAGAAGCAGACAAAGTGAGTTTACCAATATTTTTAAGCAGGTTGTTTTTCTTTTTTTTCGACTGATAGACAATCTTTAACAGGTGGTTGGTACAGATACAGAAATATGTTGCTTGTTTAGTGTTATCTATAAGTATAGTATGCAGTTCGCATTTCTCTACACATATTTCTGAATAGAATTGAAAAGTAATGTGCAGAGAGTGAATTTGTGTGCATGTATGCGTTTTGAATATGGGGAAAAATTAGCCTCTGAAATAATTTTTATAACCTATGGAACATGATGTGTATGGTAAAAAACTTTTTCAATTCTTGTTAGTTATCTGCACCCCAACGGCACCAAATAAGCTGTCACACAAGGATCTCACAACTGTTTTCTGATAGTCAACCCTTTGTACGGAGTACGCTATATTCCAACTGTTAATGACTCGAAAAAAGTGCATAAAGAGGACTTGTGACACTTATCTGAAGCACCAGAATGCTTGGGAAGCAAATCATAAAAAATAATAATGGCACCTGTTGTCAGGGAATACTGAGCAGAACACTTACAAGTTATTAAGTACTTTGTTGCCTGGCACAGGTAGATGACAAATAAAAACCAGGCAGAAAATGTTAAAGACAAAAACACAAACATGTACAAAAGTGTGAATCTTAGAGTTGAGCTGTTACACATACCAGAAAAAATAAAACCCGGCTTGTGGGAATGTGTGTCTTGTAAAATAAAGGCTCAGCTCAGGACTAAATCACTTCCTAATCAACCTCATCACTAAACCAGTAAGAGATTGAGTTTAGCCTGGTGATTACAGCACATAAAAAATGACATTATTATAAGTTTAGCTGAAAAGCTACTTTACATCTGTAGCCCCAGGGTAGGAAAAACTATATATATAAAAAATACATATAAAACCACACAAAACCATACCGTATGATAAATAGATTTTAAAGATAGTAAAGTACATGGTAAATTTATAAATATATTAAAGGTTGCAAGAGTTACATTAGAAGTCAACCACTTGTCAAGATCATTGGCATTGTTAGTCATTAAAAGAGACATCCAAAGGTTAATGATTAATATTATTAATCTTATTATTATATTAAAATGGATTTGCTTTAAGTCATGATTTCACTTTAGTTTTGCTCTTTCCAAATACTGTGGCTCTATACTGCACCAGTCCCTGCTAGTTTTGGCACTTCTGTTTCTGATATTGTTAGAACAGAGTGATTTAAAATGTGTCAAAGAAGGGGGCTAAGATAGTTTCTGAAAACCTGACAGGCATCTGCAGAATACATGAAATTATCATGTTTATGGATTGTACTTGTTCATTGGGTTGCAGTGGAGGTAATATGCTGGTTTCTCATCCAGTAGTTTCAGTGTTTTATTGTACAGTGTATACAGGACACATATCATAGTATTTTGTGCTTGTGACTAACTTGTTATACAATACAGAAAAGGTGATATGATCATTGAATGCATATATAATTAAGCAGTATTTTCAGTTCATAAGATGATATCTAACTATTTGCAATCTTTTCACAAATTTCTTGAATGTATGATTTAAATCAGTAACAATCCCAGGATATTTAAAATGAGACACAACTTACAGTACATTCACTGTTTACAGTAATATCAAGTTCATGTAACTGTTTTTTCTAGAAAGAAGTATATACAGACTATTTTGCTTACAATTAACATAAGGCATGAATTTGAAAGATCTCACTTCTGATATCTGATTTATGAACTACTTGTTTGGATTTTGCATGGAGATAAAGAACTGTGTCATCAGTGTACAGCATATCAATTGCAGGATATAAAAGTGGGAGATCATTAATATATAGATTAAACAGAAGTGGCACTAAAATAGATCTTTGAAGTACCCCAATATGACACACAACACAAAAATTAATATTGGCAATCTTAGTATGCCACTTTCTACCAGTAAAAAGACTCATAAAAGGCAACAGTCCCTACACAAAAACAGAAGTTCCTTTGGAAGTGTACAGCTCTTATGATGTTAAAACTTCTCTCTTCCTCTGTTCCTCTTTTCTTTGTTCTGTGTAATTTTCGTATTACTCTATTGATCCTGCCTTGAGTCCAGTTTTCCTCTGTACCATACCTCAAAAGGCTTAATGGCCTTCCTGTTAAATATTAGTAGAAGTGCTTGTCCACTTGGGTGTCTGGCTATTGTGGATGTCTCAGGTTACAAGACAAGATAAGAGACAGTTCACAAAGCTCAAAGAATTGTCTTTCCATAATGAGCAGGGCACTGTGAGAAGTGAAATATACACAATTTGATATCTACAAGAGGTATGTCAATGTTAGAACGACAAGGTCAAATACCTGGACATTTCTGGCTAAATATCTCAGAAATGTGACTTCTGCTAGCTCCATGCACTGTAATGCAAAAATGCATTTTTTATTGTTGTTGCCCTTAGTAAGAGCAGAGTTTAGAGTTTTGAAGTACCAGTCATTCACTGGAAAAGAGAAATGCTTGAATTCTGTAGCATGGCTATTACTAATTCTCTTTACTGCAACATTTCCAGTGTTTTGTTACATTCCATGTTGTGTCTTGTTCAGTGCAGGCATTTCCTGTACAATGTAAGGATTTAGAAAACAAACCCAGTGCATCAAATAAAATTAATGTAAAGCAACCTTCTTGAAATCACCAGGGTTTTGTTGATGGGAAAAATATTAATCACATTATTTTTGTTTAATGATGGCAGGTGAAGGAAAATGGTTCAGAAATATTGATTATTACCGTCTTGATGGCTCCACTAGCGCAATGACAAGGAAGAAGTGGGCTGAGGATTTCAATGATATAAGCAATGCCAGGTAATCTTTTTAATTTATCCTATACAATGCAATGATGCCTTCTAAAAAGCCTCTTTATGCCAATCAAGGCATTGTTTTAGGTACAGTTTTCTACACCTTCTTGGTAAACAAAATGGGTGCTTTTTGAGGGCCTGTATTCAGAACCACATGTAACATCCACATACTATAGCTTAGCTGTGTGTGCTTCTGACTCCAAAAGTATATGAGATAGATATAACTGTATATTTCCAATTTGTTAATAATTCTCAAATGATGATCTCATAGCACATGTAAACAGTGGCTACTGTCAGGGTGACAGGATCTGTTTACAAAACTCTGGATGAAATACTGATTAGGCAACATTAATTCCAAAAACTGTGCTTATAATATCTTATCCATACTTGCAATCATTTCTCCTAGTGCAAAGAGGCTGCTCAGATTGTTAAAACAACTGGACAAATCAATATGATTTCTGTATTAATTACTGATAAGCTTTATTAAAATATGTCAAATAAATATTTGTTTATTGTATTTTATTGATTTTATTGTTTGAACCTATGACATCAAGCGGTTGTGCATTTTATGGAACCTTGTATAACAGCAGGTATAAAATGTTAATATAGAAAGGCAATAAAAATATAAAAAATATTTAATTCTGTAATGTAAATATTAAAGATATGTAAATGTATGTGATTTAACATCAAAGCTGTAAACTGTGTACAGCGATGTTGGTTTATTGCAGAAATGGTTAATACTGTATTCACATACAGTATAGTTAATGTTACTTGTTAGTATCTCATTCCAGAAACCATTTGCTCTGCTAGCTGAGAGACTCTGCTAACAGATCAGTGTTTAAATTGTTACTGTTGAAAACCTAAAACTTGAATCTAAGTTCCTTGCTGTCTCTAACTGTGAATTTTTGTTGCCTTTATTAGAGTGAAGCCCCTTCCAGCCCTTTATTCCTGTCTTAGATCTAGGCTTTTGCAGGGTGACTCCATGTTTATTTATTTCCTAAAATCTGCTCTTCAGGCCTGGAAAAACACCCATTTTATTAACAAATCCATACCTCCCTTTCAGCTTCCTTGTTCGGATCTTAGTGCAGGGCTTTGTATGTTTAAAGAATATGCTTAGTATCTAGTGCACCTCATAAATGCCCTTTATCAGTGCTCTCGCTCTGAAAATAGAATCAAAAACTTTTATTTTACTAGTTTGCATTGAAGGATTCTCTGCTGACAACTGCCTTATCACAAACCTCAACAAGGGCAAACTGGATGGGTTTTTTTTCTAATGGTTTTCTCTATTCACTATGCAGTGACAATCATAGACAAAATGTTATAGCAATGCCATACTTTGCCTACCTCTACTGCTTGTACATAACACAGCAGTCACCCCAGTCTTCATTGATTTGTAACCACACTACATATCTCCGAACTAGCTGTTATCTATCTACAGTATCTATTATCTATCTCAGATTTATTGTGTATGTATAATTCACCAACTCGGTTAAGATTTTTGAGCTGACAAGTTTTTTTTTATTTGAGCACTGAAAAATCCATGCACAGAAACGAATAATGATAAAAACAAAACACATTGTGCACAGTAAGCATACATTGGGCCAAAGAGCTGCTTTAGAAGGATGGGTTTAAATCACCTGGCACTTCTTCAACCAGTCTGTTTTTGCTGTTAACTGGCCTGAGGTGCTTTAGTGTCGTGAATCTACAGTTCTCAATCTTTGTTGTTTGCTTCACAGTTGCACACCTTAAAAGCATGAACTACAGGTTATTTTGCTTGAACAGTGATTGCCTTAATGTGAGACATGTACTTGGACATTACTATGACCCCCAGGATATTTTTATTTGGTGTGTCTATTGAAATCACGTCCTTACTAAGGACTCCCTTAAGAAACTTCAGAAAGTCAAAAGTTTTAAAAGTTTAATTGACAACCCTGCTTGATTTTTAACTTGTGTGTAAAGTTTTGTTAAAATCTGCAGTTTTTCAGTACGAAGTCTCTGAAATATACTTCAACAGCAGCATGTGTAAGCTGAGGTTTTTCATTTCCACTTGTCCTTCTATACAGTTCTTTCTTTCTTTTTCTTTTAGGGGGCGCTTGTTCCTCATCTCCACTAGAGCTGGATCTCTTGGGATCAATTTGGTTGCTGCAAACCGAGTAATTATATTTGATGCCTCTTGGAACCCGTCATACGACATTCAGAGTATCTTCAGAGTGTACCGCTTCGGCCAAACAAAAACTGTGTTTGTGTACAGATTTCTGGCTCAGGTAATTCTCATATCTTAATGTGATATATAGCCACTGGACATAAACTTTATCCTGAAAGATACTAACATTTCTTATTGAGGGGCTTTTACTGATGAATATCTTTAGAAACCACTTTGATTGAAATGTTATGAAAGAAAAATATTTCTATAAAAAAAATTAAATTTCTTGTAAAAATATTGTAAACATTTTCTCCTAAATATCTTAAGTAAATGTAGACTTACCCAGATAAGGTAAGAAAATATTTGATGTTATGAGCTCAACTATTTTAAGTTTAAATAATGCTCTTATTCCCTGTGAATTTTCTTTTAACACGAGATGTTGCTCTCTAGCTGTTTATATCTTGTGATGTTAAAATGGAAGAACAGGGTATATAGCACAAGAACTAATAATTTCTCAGACACCTAATAGGTTCTAAAGAAAACATGTAATTAACAATAACAAGTAGGATTAAACATCCTGTGATGTTTTTATCACATTTGTTTTAAAAAACTACATCTCACAGGTACATACTAAATCAGTCACAGTTACTATAATAGCCTTGTAATATACCATATCCCATATCTATAAATAACTTTAAAGTTTTGGCTGTTATTATCTGCTCCCATAGGTGTTACTTGTGTTGTAAATGCCCTTGTAGTAAACTGTGAGTTATGGTGTCTACTAAACCGCTATATCTATATGAGAACTGTGTAGTATTGTATTGTTAAAAACCATTCATCGGTTCATTGTCATGAATTTAAAAAAGTTGGAGAAACTAAGATATGGTCGAGATTTAAAAATTTTTTCTGAGCAGAAATGAGTAACTGTTACTTGTTAGCAGTTTTAGTGATTTAATGATAAATATGTGCATTATTCCACTTTTAAGATCTCTGCAATGAATTAATTTTCTGCTCTCAAAAAAGGTTTCCTGCATTTGTAGAATATGGAATGTTATTCTAGCAGATACAGTGGATTTTTTAAAGAAACAAATGGGGGAGTTCCTTGGATCCGTTATTCAGTAAAAAACAGACTAAACGTGATGAATGGCCTCCTCTCAATTGTAATTGTTACAACTCATGTTTAACTGACTTATGTTTTTAAAAATAATTTTTCTTAGTTTGACTATAGTATTGCAGCCTGGTCCCATTTAAAGTTTCATCTAATAATGAATCATTTGTGCACTATAATGTAACTTAAAGCAGTGTTTTGAATAGCATAAATACACCTGCTTGCTCTAATCCTTGAAAATGATTTGTCTTATCCTGCTTGTGCGAGCAAATGCTATAAAAATGTTTACTTTTTCAGAAGCTATATATAATATGTGCAGGAAATGATTATTTTTGTTTATGCTTTTTGGCTAGTTTCCCAGCATGAAGAAGGTGACCGCAAATCTATTGATTTTGCCAGCACAGACTTAAATCACATAAGAAATGATTCTTCCACCTTTTTTCTGTAGGGAACCATGGAGGAGAAAATTTATGACAGACAGGTTGCCAAGCAGTCTCTTTCGTTCCGCGTAGTGGACCAACAGCAGATTGAGCGTCACTTCACGATGAACGAGCTCACTGAACTGTACACTTTTGAGCCAGACCAGCTGGATGACCCCAATTCGGAGAAGAAGAGCAAGAGAGCCACTCCTATGCTGCCAAAGGTAAGTCCTATCCCAGATTGCTCCTGGCATAGACAGCTGAGAAACCGTGTAGCACCAGGCTGAAATTACTTTTATTTCGGCATGGGGAAGAATGGCAGTGTAACACACATGAAACATTCTTAATGGTACTGAGTAAGCGTCTTTGCCCCATGTTGCAGTGTTTCTTTTCTGCCCCAAAGGCCTTCTTCCAGGATGACCATCTCCACAGAAAACATGTGGTCAACCCCAGTGTGATGAGCATGATTTGTGATGTTTCCTTTATGTCATTGCCTTTACAGTCACCAGATCTGATCTCAATCAAGCAACGTTTCCACCTCTATAGCCAAGTGTGATTGACTTTTGTATGGGGAACATGGTGTCACATTGACAGAATTCCAGACGCATACAGACTCTGTGACACTTTGCATACAGGCCGTACTGTGGCCCAAATCTTTATTAAGTGACTTCATTTGTTGTTTCCATTTTTTGTCCACTAACTGTATGTGTCCTCTAAAAGGTACACTTAACATGCTACCCAGTTCTTCTCTCTGTGCAAACCTGCTGTGCAAACAGTAGAATCAGCATGTCACACTGATCCCTTGAAGCAGTGCTCTCTGATAGCACTGTAATTACATGTGCACCCCTACAGTAAAAGGGATCACAAACCACCTATAAAGAACTGCTGGATGCACCAAAAGCCATTAGATAACCAGCACTTTCTGGCCTTCAGGGCTCAGTCTCCACTGATCTTCCCAGAGACTAATTGCTTTTACACTGATTAACATTATCCTTTTAAACTCTGAGACAATTAATCTTTAATAAGATTGTCTTCGTCTGAATATGGAATCTTTGAGGTGAAGAACCCAAACACGATCGCTTGGGAAATAAAAGCTATATAAAATAAGGATGGGTAGCTACTCATAAGAATACTGTGTTCGCGTGTGGGAAACTAATGTCAAGTGAGACGTAAAATTGAAAACCAAGAGGAGGCAGTGTTAACTGTCATTTAGCCTGTTTTCTGTTTTCTTTTTCTTTTAAGATTGACAGCTGTGGTTCAGTGCAGTCCAGCTTTTTAAACAGAGTGTCAAGCAAATGTGAACCACAATGGGAAACATTTTACACTTACGTTTTTTATTGTGATTTTAAACACCTTTACTGATCTTTTTGCCTTTCTGTGGCATAGGTTCTGGGTGAAAGTGACAGATGGTTTGTTTGGGGAATCCTGGGAGCTGTGTTGTATACCCTTGTGATGTCACAATTAAACTTGGTGGCATTGCAGTACTCGACACAGCAGTCTTTAACAGTACTTCACGCTAACCATACCTGCAGTATATTTGTTTTGTTGGACATGGTTAATGCACCTCTGGTTTGATGAACCATGTTGACTTCATTGTTTATTGGCTGCTTCCTGTCTCATGCTCAAATGTGCCTGATTTGAATTTTATTCCAGAAGTGTCTGTTATCCAGAAGTTATGGGATTCAGCATTGGCACAGCAGCTACATTCCTTCTCTTATTTTAGAAGCACGACTCACTGAGTGCAGGTGTGCAGTTGTTAGAGCCATCCCCTGTGGTTTACAAGCAGACAGACGCCTTAGATAGAAGGTCCAACAGCAACAGTAAATTCATTTTTGGGAGTAAATTCATTGTTTACTTTTGTTTACCAAATAGTATGCTTATTACATCACTAATGTACCATGGCTGAAGCAGAAAGCACTGTTTTTGTAAAGATTGCAGCAGTTTTAAAGAGTGGGATTCATTAACTAGAAATGAAACATTATACATCATCACATTGTCACAGCTGTTTAAGAAGCATGCCTGGATTTTTTTTTCCTTCACTTGCTCTCCCTTTGAAAACTTTTTAGCCGTGCATGAGTCCAGTGCAGCCACTTTCAAGTTGTCAGCTTTCATTCAGCACAGTAGGAGTGTGTCCTTGATGCTGCTGTCTGTCTAGAGCTCCAGCTGCTGGAGAAAAACCAGCGGCAGGCTCTTCTGTTTTGTCAAGGTCTGGAGTGTCTCTAGCAGCTGGGAGCGACATCCAATCGACAGCAGTTTCAAGGACACACCCCTACTTTTAGGGGAAGCAAACATCTTGAAGTTGATTGCCCTGGATTTATATAATTTTAAAAACCTGTCAGGATGTTAAAAACTGTACCCATTCCAATCTGTTACACAGTCCAGCATCTGTATTTATAACCTTTGTAGGTCTTCTTAGTTAAAATAAAAATGTTTAAAATGCTTATCAAAGGCACAACTTTAGAGCAACACACTGCCTAAATTTAAGTGTAACTTGAAGTGTAAATAAGAACTGGTATTTGCACCTGAGAGCTGCCATAATAGCAGAAGACCATTAGCAGGCCCATAAGCAGTGTGCTTTGATAGTAAGTCCTACTTTTGATTTATGTTCTTCAGCTAAGGTATGTTGGATACTGTGTAGGTGATAAATCCCATACTAGGTTAAAAACAGTTAAGTTTCATGACTTAATATTCAAAGAAACATTGGCAAGATTCAACACAAAAATGTAAGAAAGGTTACGAATGAGAGCAGGACATTTGACCCATCTTGCCAGCTCCATACCAGACATTTCTTAAAACAAGCCAGGGTATTGGCTAGCAGCATGGTTGGGTAGCTTGTTTGATACCACAATCCCTTTGGTCAAGAAGTGTCATCTCTTTTCAGTTTTAAATGCACTTTCCCATACTTTTTGCTTGTGCTCACTGGTTCATGTTCATTTTGAAAAGCCGTTTTGGAGCTCACAATTTACATGTACACTAAAGCCTGACTTCCAGTAACAGCCAACTAATATTACAGCCATGGTAACTCCAAATGGAAGACTTCCAATTTTTTCCCTTCATGCCTAGGAAGGCCATTAGAACACAGCAGCTGGGTTTTTTGTTGAAAGCAGGAAATTAAACCGGAGACTCATCTGCGTGTAGGGAATGGGAACAATGAGAGATCCCAATACTATGGAGAAATCAAGACCTAATAGTACCATATTCCTGAAATGTGGTGTGAATACACTTGTTTTCACAATAATTACTGTGTGCACTGCCTACAGATTGCTGAGGTCAGACAGATATGGTTAATGAAGTGGTAAATATCTGACCATAGTAGAATCAACCAAGCATGAATTCTCTCTAGTTCAAAATGATAAACATTTGTCAACCTTTCAGCGAACGCAAACCTTCACTGGGAATTGTGTGTTTTTTATTAAACAACACCTCTCTAACTTTGAGTGTGGATTATTTTTCTTTTTTTGTAGCTATCTGTCCACCTCACTGGTATTGCTGTTTTTCTCCTGTTTGAGAGACAGCAATGTCATCCTCAGAAAATATATTTCTAACCGAATGTAGCCGAGTTACTGTCTTAATTCTGGTGTCTTATGAGGTAGACCTTTTTTTTAATTCTATAATGCTTCTTTTAGTACATTCCTTCCAGTTCTACATCTTACTGGGACACAAGGCCATCATTTGTGAAATTCAGCCCAGTAAATTTCCACTTGGGGAAAAAAAGGAATTAATAAAAATAATGTAATAAAATTTAAAATGCATATAATTTGCCCTCCTTCATAAGGTCTTGCAATACAGATGCTGAAGCAATTCTGCTAACATCAAGAGACCCATTTCAAACAAATACAGTAGACAAACAGGACTAGTATCTGAATTATGTATTTCTGTGAACAGTTATCAGCAGGAGGGGGAGTAATACAGGGGTTTTCCTTTATCACTGACTTAAAAAGCTCATGCCCTTTTATGGATACCATGAACACATCAACAAGCGGACTTGTTTCAAAGACAGGTCCTTGAGGTCAGTCGGACTACTCGATAGTGTGTTTGGAGTAAGGGGATAGAGACAACATATCTACATGAATATCCATGTAAGGCTCTATCTGTCCTGAGAAAGAAGGTATTAAATGGCATGAACTAGAGAGCAGCAGTGCAAACCCTAGTAAGTTTTTATGTGCATCAGAGGGGAGTGATTCGGTAATGTCACCACACTTTGAATTGTAATTAAAAGAAATTAAAATACAATAAATAATACTGGTACCAGTACTCAATTGTACAGTAGTATTTTAATGCAACTCAGTCTATTTTCAACAAGATCCCTGTAAAGCAAAAAGAATGGATGTGCATTGAGCATTAAATACTAGCAAGTAAAGACTTGTATTTAGACAAAGCTTTCCAAAATAGTGCTCCAGTACACATTTCTGAAGCCTGATTCCAGCTGGTGATGTTCAACGATGAAAACATTTTTACTGAAATTAATTATTCCAGGAAGTTGGTGGTAGTTGCTGGGTGAGGTAGAAATACATTTCAGTTGTAAATGAATCTGTTGACACATAGGTAGAGAAGAAAATATAAAGACTTATGTATTTTCTGCGTCATCACTGAGCCTTTTAGATAGGTAGTCACACTACATAAATGACATTGTGTTTGCAAAATTTCTCTAAGAAGAATTCTGATCCAGGAATCTTATGGGCAATGCTAATTCAGAGGAAGTGAGGACTTTAGTGATAGTACTGTGGAGGAGTAGTGAGTGGCTTTGAACACCTGTCCAGAGACTTGTGGCTTCAAATCCTTTGAATTTGTACCCCTGCTGTTGTACCCTGGAGCAAGGTACTTCTTAAAGTCACTGATGTAAATGAGAATTTCTTCTAAGTTAATGTAAGTTGTTAAATGAAGGTTTAAATTAAAATATATTACAGTACCTTTGAATAATGGAAGTTAGAAGTTTGTTAAATGCTTGACATATTTCTATCAATGTAGACAGCAAATTAAAATTTTAACAGATAACGTGCCTGAGGAAAAAGATCTTAACACAAGAGACTTGGAGAGTTATACAGCTGGAGAAGTTAAAACAGTTCTAATTTAGCCAAGCAAACTGTTATGAACTGGAACATTGGCCATCCTACGAATTAGCCATTCTGAGACAGAAATTGGTCTTCAGTAGATAAAAGAAAGGGGTTACCAGATTTCCTAGCTGTTTAAAAAACAGAAGATTTTTATTGGTAACAGTTAGCAG